GTGATCTTGTTACGCGCTGCGTCGATGATGAGAGGCCCAGAGGCTGTTTGGGTGGAGCGGGAGGATGTTGAGGAGGAGATGGGATGGGATGCTCCGTGGGCGGATGCACCATACTTGGTAGACATGCGGGTTTAGGGAGTGGGTTTAGGGGGGGAGGTTTGGTTCGATGGGAGTGCAGTTGGGGTGCTTTGATGGGAGGGCTTGATGGTGTTTTAAATGTGTGTGCTATTGGGGTTTTCTTGGGGTTGTGTGTGCTGCTTTTTCTTCCTTCTTCCCTGTTTTTCTTCCTCCTATCATTTTTCCCCTATTCCCCTCCTTCTTTCTTCCTCTCTCCTTTTTTCTACTCACGTTATTCCTCCTTTTCTCCTTGTCAGAATGTTATATTGTCTAGCCTGCAGTGGGGTACTCTATAGCGAGTACAGCCCAATCTAGGGTTTGCTATTTGTACTCAACTGCCTGCTAGTTCAAACCCTCTTTCTGTTCCTAACTTCTGCCTAACTTGTTTCGACATGGTATCAGAGCGAAGGTCTCGGGTTCGAATCCCGGTGTGTGCACCTCGGGCATCCCAGTGCGGGGGGGTGTCAGAGGTCCACTGGAGATCCCCGATGATCCTAGGGAAGGGTTACAGGCATGTTGGCCTGGGGGGTTATGGGCGCACTCACCCGCTACACAAACAAGCCCTTTTATCCCAGTGGTTAGTGACTGGGATTCTGACATGGTATCAGAGCAGGTCGACCCCCTTGGGTCGATCCTGTGGGTGGGCCCACCACCTAACTGCTTCCGCTGCTGTTATGCTTCTCGCGCGCCTCGGGCGTGCGTCGTCTTCTTCCGAATTTTTTTTAGGGTTTTCATCCCGCCGTGCGCTCGGGGCGCGCAGCGGTGGCGCACGGCGGTTTCCTATCGTGGGGGACCCGCGCGCGCCCCCGCCCTGTCCGTCGCGTCGCCCTAGGGGACCCGCGCGCTGCCCCCGCTGCCCCGTCGGTGGTCGCGTCGCCCCGCCACCCCGTCGCGCCGCCCTGGGGAGCCGCGCGCGACCCCCCGCTGCCCCGTCGACAGTCGCGTCGACCAGCTGGAGCCGCGCGCGGCTCCCAATTCCTCGTCGCGCCGCCCTGGGGAGCCGCGCGCGACCCCCCGCTGCCCCTTCGCGGCGCCCTGGGGAGCCGCGCGCGGCCCCTCGCTGCCCCGTGGTGGCGCCCTGGGGGCCGCGCACCGTCCCCCTCGCCGTCCCCCGCGCTCCTTCCCCCGTTCCGCCCGTTTTAGGGTTTGGGGGTGGGGAGTGTGGGGGTGGCGGTTGTGGGGGTGCCGGTTGTGTGCCCCGTCCCCTCCTCCTCCTCCTCCTTCGTCTCCCGCTGCTGCAGCTGCCGCTCAGGGGGGTGGTTGTGTGGGGAGCCGAAGGAGTGGTGCTAGGGGGGTGAAGGGGGAGTGGAGCTAGGGGCGCAGCAGGGGGTGTGTGTCGAGGGGTGTGGGACTGTTGGGGGAGATTGAGTGGAGGTTGCCGTCGTGTCGTCCGCAGCGCCTGTATTCCGGGGTTCTGATAGCCACCGGTAGCTCAGAGAGCCGGTTGCACCTGTCGCCCGTGGGTCCGTTGCTCCTGTCGCTGCTGATCAGACGCAGAGCCAGTTACTCCTGTATTCCGGGGCACTTGCTCCCGGTAGCCACTAGCGTTGCACCAGAGCCGTCTGTTGCCCGTGTGTCTGCAGCTTCAGTCGTCGCCTCCCATCTACTCTCCTCTCGCTAGCCCTCCTCCTCCTCACTTGCCCTCAGTGACTGCCTCTACCTTTGCTCATAATTTTATGAACTATTGCTATTGTGACTGCTTGTTGTGCTGATTACACCCCACTTTGGCTATGGGGGTGTGTCAGAATGTTATATTGTCTAGCCTGCAGTGGGGTACTCTATAGCGAGTACAGCCCAATCTAGGGTTTGCTATTTGTACTCAACTGCCTGCTAGTTCAAACCCTCTTTCTGTTCCTAACTTCTGCCTAACTTGTTTCGACACTCCTCTCTTCCCGTTTCCACTCCTTTTCCTTGCGTAATTATGCTACATTGTAATATTTTAAAATAAACACCTGGTCAGGGAGGTGATGGTCAGAAAAAAAAAAAAAAAAAAAAAAGAACAAGATTCAGTACACGTACAGAGAAATAGATGTGGAATAGTCAAAGACAAATCCCAGCAGCGCAAAGAGAGGAATTCGACAGCAACCTGATGACGACAAATTTCCAAGTTGGCATTTAGTACAGTAATCACAGCTGTACAAACAGACGCTAGCATTGCAAACAAAATGGGATATATCATTCAAGGCTGTTAAAATTTCATCAAGCGGGCGAACATTGCAAGAAAGAGGCAAAAAAATAACAATGTAAGCGAACGCATGAGCGAACATATATAGTGAAAAAAAAAAATCAAACGGTAATGCGGGCTTGCGAACAACCTAGTATAGTACTGGCAGCTAGTCCTAAAGCGTAGGTTGACTCGGCCAAGTATAGTACTGCGTAATGTAGTAAAGGTGGCGCGTGATGTGGCGAACACCGTTAGGCAGTATCGGGTGAAGAACGGACGGGTGTTGTACGCGATACGCAGGTGCGCTGTATATTTCCTTACGCTGCCCTCTCCTCGAGAAACCTTCCGTTAAATTAGTGTGAATTTAAAGAAAGCTTTATATATATATATATATACCGTACTTATCATTTGGCATCGTTCTCATTTCAACTGGCAAATTACAACATGCTCCTCGAGCTGTAAACCATAAGTGTCTCAGTAAGTGAAAACAGCGGAATGAGTAGGATTGATTGGGTTGGGGTACATATGCCTAACCCTAACTGCTTGTACCCCATATAGCATGACCCACAACAGGGTATAACATTTGACACACCCCCATAGCCTAAGTGGGGAATGCCAAGCAACAAAAAACACAACCTAAGGTCACAAGACCAGTCACAAACAAAAGACAAAACAAAGCTCAGGGTGGATCACAACGTCACCACACAGTCTGAGCGCAAACAGCGGCCACAAGGCCAGTTCAAGAGTGTATATGCATACATATACTGTACAAGCAAAGACAAGAGACAAGCACTCACTACTGCAGTCTACTCGACCCAGTCTCAACGAGGCCCAACTGCAGACAGAACCGGCGGTGGTCACAAGGCTGAAGAGCCTTGGTGAAGATGTCTGCAGTGTTGGCCTCGGAGGCCACGAAGTCCAGACGAGCCTGCCCGCGTCTCTGCAACTCTCGAAGGAGGAAGTACCTGACGTCGATGTGCTTCACTCTGCTCTCCAGTCGAGGCTCACGACACAGGAGAATCATCGCCCTGTTGTCAGCAAACAGGGTCGGTGCAGAGCTCGGCCGCTCACCAAGGTCAGTGAGCAAAAAGGTCAACCAGCGTAGCTCCTGAGCAGCAAGGGCCCCAGCGTAGATCTCGGCCTCTGCGGTAGAAGTCGCAACCGAGGAGGACCGAGTAGACCTCCACGAAACAGCTCCAGAGCCTAGGCTGAAACAGTAACCCTGCGTAGACCTCTGAGTCTCAACGTCGTCGGCGTAGGAGGAGTCGCAGTGACCGGTGAGTACAACTGGCTGTGTCCCTCCAAGTACAAGCCCCATGCCTGATGTCGCGCCAAGGTACTTCGCCACCCTCTTAGCCGCCGCCCAGTGAACAGGACGGTGTCTCCCAGTCGCAACAAAGCGAGACAGGATGCTAAGAGGGAAGGCGAGGTCCGGGCGAGTGCACGTCATCAGGTACATGAGGCAGCCCACCAGCTCTGCGTAGGGACCACTGGGCTCGAACGGCTCGTCAGGAAAAGGCCCAGTGAGTCTGTGGTCTACAGCAAGAGGAGTGGGTGTAGGAGAGGAGTCCTGAAGCCCGAACCGCTGAAGGACCTGCTGCACCATGTGTGACTGAGTCAGAGTGATGGTGCGAGCGGCTCTGTCCCTGGAGATCTGCAGGCCAAGGTAGCGGTGCAGTTTCCCAAGGTCAGTGCAGGTGTGTCTCTTCTGCAGTTCGGACTTCACCTCCGCCAGTGCAGCTGTGTCGGCTGTGGCAAAAACCAAGTCGTCAACGTAGACCAGAACGAAGAAAGGTGTGCGCCCACGACGAACAAACAGCGACGGGTCGGCGGAAGACGGCTCAAACCCGAGGTCGGAGAGAGTAGAGCGGAGAGTGTCGTGCCACTCACGGGGTGCCTGGCGAAGACTGTACAGCGGTCGTCTGAGGCTCCACTGGGTCCCAGGCGGGAAAGTGCCAGTGAAGCCCGGAGGACGACGCAGCCAGATCTCCTCGTGTAGGCGGCCCTGGAGGAAGGCAGTGGAGAAGTCAAGAGAGTGTAGCTCGTAGTCTCTCTGCGCTGCTACGTGCAGTAACACCCGAAGAGTGGTCATCTTCGGGGTGGGCGCGAAGGTCTGAAAGAAGTCAACTCCCTCACGCTGACTGAACCCTCTAGCCACGTAACGTGCCTTGAAGACTGGGGGAGATCCCGGCGGCCGCTTCACCTTGAAGATCCACATGCCGTCAACGATGTTCGCCCCTGGGGGGGGAACCTCGTCAACGTAAGTGCCTGTGGACCTGTAGGAGGCCATCTCTGCGTCCATGGCAGCTCTCCACTGAGAGGCCCAAGGCCCTGACACTGCCTCAGCGTAAGTGCGAGGAGTAGGTATGTCAGGAGCGTCGGGGTCTCCCTCAGGAGTGAGCAGCATGGCACAGAGATGAGGCGAAGCAGCTGCCAGGAACTCTAGCTCAAACTGTCTGTCCTCTAGGACGTCACAGCCAAGGGCAGACTCACCCCCGGCGGACAGAGGACGGACAGGAGGAGCGGCCACAACACGAGTGGCGTAGTCAAGGCGACGCGTAGCAGTAAAGTCAGTGACAGCGGCAGTGAGGACCGCGACGGAGGAAGGGGAGGCACGAGGGTCTGTAACAAGAGAGGCGAGAACACGAGAGAGAGAGTGGGGCGGTACGTGCGGTAGTAGTCAGTGACCGGAGTGGACAGGGAGGCAGTGAGGGAAGACTCAGGAGGACGAGGAAGGACAGACGGAGGAGAACGAGGAGGACTAGGACGAAACAACACGGTACGGAGGTCAGTGACAGGGGACGAGGGACGAGCACGAGGAGGACGAGAGGCCCAAGTGTGGGCGAGAGGAGGGGGGGACGGAGGAGACAGAGAACGAGGGAAGACAGCGGAAGTGGAGTCCGGAGGAGGAAACGTAGGACCGAACACAGGAGGAGAGGAGGGGAGACCAAGGGCCCGAAGGCCAGAAACAGGGGGCGGAGGCTGCTGCGGCTGCTGCTGCTGCTGCTGCTGCTGCCGCTGCTGCTGCTGCTGCTGCTGCTGCTGCTGCTGCTGCTGCTGCTGCTGCTGCTGCTGCTGCTGCTGCTGCTGCTGCTGCTGCTGCTGCTGCTGCTGCTGCTGCTGCTGCTCCCGCTGCAACTCCAACCTCTCACTCTCCACCCGCTGCTGAAGCTCCAACCTCTCACGCTCCAAACGCTGCTGCTCCTCACGCTCAAGACGAAGACGGGCCTGGTGGCGAGTCGGGTAAGGGTGAGGAGGAGGAGTAGCGTGAGGAGACGACGAAGAAGAACCTGCTCCGCCCTCGGCTGAGCACCCCAAGAGCGAGTACCCCCCGCGGTAGCACGACCTGCACCTGCAGGAGATGTGCCCGCACCCCCAGCCGTGGTGCCCCCAGTAGCACCAGCACCAGCCCCAGACTCTCCAGCTCCAGAAACACCACCAGCTCCAGCACCACCACCAGCTCCAGTACCCTCGGAACGGGCAGCTGTGGCAGGTGCAGCGCCAGTGCCAGCACCCCCAGAACTGGCCGCTCCTGTAGGTGCACGAACAGCTCCAACGCCAGCACCCCCAGAGCGAGCACCGCCAGGGCCCTCACCTCGAGCACCGACACCCTCAGTGTCCGCAGTGGCCGGTGAAGGAAGCGCCGACGGCTGCTGCGGAGGCGGTGAGGACGACTGTGGGGAAGGAGGAGAGACCTGGGGGGGTACCGAGGGAGGGGGAGTAGCGTGAGACACACCAGACGGAGCGGGAACAGGGGGGGGTACCGGAGGAGCAGGGGCGGGAGGAGGAGGAGCTGGAGCCAGGAAGAGGGGAGGGGGGGGAACCGGGAGACCTCGAGAGGGGTACCTGACGTAGTAGGGGACGGACTCGTCGAAACGGACGTCACGAGAGTCAAAGAACCGGTGGGAGGGTGGGTGGTAAAAGGTGAAGTCAGAGGAGCCCTTTGGGAAACCAAGGAAGACACAGGGGACGGCGCGAGGCGAGATCTTGTCCGCAGAGGTGTCGCGGACAAGAGCCAAGCAGCCCCAGACACTAAACCTCGACGCAACACCAGGGGACCCTGTCCAAAGACTGGTCGGTGAAGCCCCTGGCCGAGAGACGCGAGGCCAGAGGTTCAGCTGGTGAGCGGCGTACCGAGCCGCGTAGGGCCACAGAAAATGGGGCGCGCGGGCGTGGATCATGGAGGTGCGGGCGATCTCCATGACCAGGCCTAAGCGGCGCTCAGCAACCCCATTCTGCTGTGGAGAGTCTGGAAGAGTCCAGGACTGGGTGATGCCCTGCTCAGCACAGAATCTGGCGAGAATGCCGGAGCGAAACTCACCCCCACGGTCGGAGTGGAGACAACTGACACGACGACCACGAGTGCCCTCGGTGGCGAGGAGCCACCGGATCAGCGTAGAAGTCACGTCGGACTTCTTCGCCAAAGGGAACACGGTGGTGTACCGAGAGTAATCGTCAACGACCACCAGAAAGAAACTCTCCCGCTCAGGGCCAAGGCGGGAGGCGGGGCCCCAGACGTCTAAGTGGAGTGTCTGGAAGGGCTCGGTGGCCAGACGAAGGGAGGAGGAGTGAGGGGTGGCGCGAAGCCGACCCTGGACACAAGGACCGCACGGAGGAGCTGGGGACGGCGGGAGTGGCGGGAGGACTCGGGGGAGGCCTAAGACAAGACGCTGACTGGACATGGCGCGCAGACGAGGAAGGGACGGGTGCCCCATCCGGTGGTGCCACAGAACGGTGGGGTGGGCAAGCGACCGACACGAGCACGACGCAGCAACTACACCTGACACAGCAACCTGACTGGACCCGGCTACCTGGTGGGACGGGGGAACCTGACGGGGGTCGGTGCGGAGGGTGTACAGACCAGAGCCCGGCTCCTGGCGGAAAGTGGCCAAGGGGGCGTACGTGTCACCGTCGACGCAGACTGCGGTGTCACCAGAAGGCTCAACCCAGACACCGACGTGCTGTCTCGCCAGGGTGCCCACACCAACCAGGTTCCTAGAGAACGTAGGAACGTGGAGGCCGGTCAGGGAACCAGAAGGAGCAGCTGGGCACGGGAGAGTAGTGGCGTGAGTCGCAATGACCGGTCCCGAGGTGGGATCGGCCAGTGCTACAGGGACAGGCGCCGGTAGCGGAGAGAGAGTCGTGCAGTCGCGGAAGAAGCAGTGCGACGCTCCCGAGTCCAGTGTGAAGGAGAGAGACGCGTCCGCCGAGGGAGTACCTGTACTAGTAGCTAAGCAAGATCCTACACTAGCACCTACTCTAGCAACAGGCAAAGATCCTAAGCTAGGTACAGGCAAGTACACAGATCCAGGAGCACTATAGTCAACATCAGCATACATGGCATAAGACCTAGCATCATCCATAGTCATATCAAAAACAGCAATACCACGAGCAAGCAGCGTCCCCCAGCGTGGCGGCGGGGGAGCAGAGGGGCCGTGGTGCAAGCGGTAGAGGTCGTCGAGACGACTGAAGCAGCGTGCAGCAGAGTGGTCGGGGCGGCCACAGTACGTGTCCCTACGAGGACCCGTAAGGATCCAGTACTCACAGGGACCAACGTCGCGGCCGGCCGCGCGAGGTCCCCGACTGGAGGGGGCGCCACTGCGCCCAGTGCTCGGGGGACCCGCAGACCTCCACTGCTGCGGAGGGCCCCACTGCTGCGGAGGGCCCCACTGCTGAGGCTGCTGCTGGCCCTGTCGCTGCTGCTGCTGCTGTCCCTGCCGCTGCTGCTGTCCAGGCGGTGGCAGCTGCTGAGGAGTCGGCTGCTGCTGCTGCTGGAACCCCTCACCACCAGTGAAAACTCCACCGTCGAAAGGAGGGCCGTCAGGTCCCGAGCCACCCCCACCACCACTCCCACCACCTGCTCCACCGCCACCGCCACTACCCGCACCACCTCCAGTACCCCCGCCGCCCTTCCCGCCCTTCTTGCCGGCCTTGCCACGTTTCTGTCCGCCAGAGACAGAAACAGCCGCCGTCTCCTCAGAGGCAGAAGACGTGGGAGTGGCAAGGGAGGCAGAGAAGGTGGGAAGCTGTGGTACCGCACACCCCTCAAAAAGACGAGGAGGAGGCGCGGAAGAGGCAGAGGCAACGGTGAGGAGGTTACTCTCGATCTTCGAGAGAGCGGTCTCAAGAAGATCGATTGTAAGCTCAGTGGGGTGCTTCAGAAGAAGCGCGTCGCGGGCTGTGGCTAGGCGGTCAGGGAGGCGAGTGACTAGCCAGTGAATAGTGAGCCACATAGGGGGCGGGGCAAGGGCAAGCTGGTCCTCAGTGCAAGCAGCGCGAAAGCGAGCGTCAAGGGAGCGCAGGTGAGTAGTGAGGTCAGAGACAGTCGGGTCAGGGTAGATAAAGGGTACGAGGAGGCGACTGAGCGACGCAGAGGAGGGAGTAGAGTAGCGAGCAACAATAGCCTTATACAGATCTGCAGCAGACTCGACCTGAGCGAAGTGGACTGCCTCTGTCGGCGGGAGAAGGTCGGTCAGGGCGAGGCAGGCAGCGGCGTCACGAGACTCCCACACGTCGCGAGCGAGGAGCTGGCGCTGGTACTCGGCCTCCTGCTCAGGAGTAGGCGGTGGGGTAGTGGGCAGCGGGCTAGGCTGCTGGGGAGCGGTCTGAGTACCGGATGCGTGTGCGAACAAGTGCACGCCATCTTGCCGTTGGCTCTTAAGGTGGCGCTGCGCCTGCGTAAGCCACGTGCTAAAATCTATAGGTCGCCCTTCAGGGTCGAAACGAAGTACTCGGGAGGTCGCCATAGAGGGCGAGACTGAGAGAGCGTGGCTGCCAGCCGCGGGAGGGGGGGGACAGTCAGTAGCGAGGATGTAAGCTCGCAGGCGTGCAGGCGAGGAGGAGGCGTAGCATGTGGACAGGAGGGCTGCTCAGTTAGTGGACTGGAGGGCGGCGCGGCGGGCTGGCCTATGGGCGGCGCGGCGTGCAGGCCTACGGGCTGGACGGCGGGTCGACGGACGGGCCTGCAGGCGGCGCGACGCGCAGGCCTACGGGCGACGCGACGCGCGGGCCTGCGGGCTGGACGGCGGGTCGACCGGGCGGGCCTGCAGGCGGCGCGACACGCAGGCCTACGAGCGACGTGACGCGCGGGCCTGCGGGCTGGACGGCGGGTCGACGGGAGGGCCTGCAGGCGGGGCGACGCGCAGGCCTACGGGCGACGCGACGCGCGGGCCTGCGGGCTGGACGGCGGGGCGACGGGCAGGCCTACGGGAGGCGCGACGCGCGGGCCTACGGGCAACGCGAAGCGCGGGCCTGCGGGCTGGACGGCGGGGCGACGGGCAGGCCTACGGGAGGCGCGACGCGCGGGCCTACGGGCGACGCGACGCGCGGGCCTGCGGGCTGGACGGCGGGGCGACGGGCAGGCCTACAGGAGGCGCGAGCGACGGGCAGGCCTACGGGACGGTACGCTGGCGACGGACAGGCCTACGGGACGGTACGCTGGCGACGGGCAGGCCTACGGGCGACGGGCAGGCCTACGGGACGGTACGCTGGCGACGGGCAGGCCTACGGGCGACGGGCAGGCCTACGGGACGGTACGCTCGAGTGGGCGTTGACGTGGCGCGGGCTAAGGCGTTTTAGGTCAAGTGTCGATCCTAGGAGGCGACCTAAGTCTAGGAACGGCGCCAATTAGGTGAGGCCTAGGAACGGCGAACCTACTGCTGATACCATCTCAGTAAGTGAAAACAGCGGAATGAGTAGGATTGATTGGGTTGGGGTACATATGCCTAACCCTAACTGCTTGTACCCCATATAGCATGACCCACAACAGGGTATAACATTTGACAAAGTGCTAGTACATGTCATCATACTACATATCAGTCATTGTACTAGCCATCAATTACAATACTTACTATCAACTATTGCCTAGCTATCTATATTCTCGTTCCAGCAGCGACACTGGTGTCCGCCAGTGTGGGCGCGGAGGGGGGGGGGGGGGGGGGGGGGGGGAGAGTTGCAAGAGTCATTTGAGAAATAAGATACGTAGGTGGAGGGAAATGAGCTCCAAACCACAATTTGTCGTTGGAGAAGGGCGTTTGGCATACTTCGACGATGTCAAAATCTGCGTTACAAGTAGCTGCGCTTTCGAAATACATAATCGATAAAACCACATCATGTGATTAACAATTATTATATTTCGAAATGTCCCCTGCTTCTTAAATAGTGTTTCACCTAAATCACTAGGGGTGTCGGATCCGACAGATGAGAATTTTTTCGGCTTCAACAATTGGCTCGGATGTGGGGCGAGTCATGAATGACGGTCGGTGTCATGACAATTCACTTGTAGTCATGATGTATGGTCGAAGTAGGCTAACCTGGAACAAAGGGCTAATGTACTAATCGGCGGGTAACAGGAGAGGGCCGGTGACGGGCGAAATCATGTGGCTGATCTAGAACAGGACGCAATAGATGAATTGGAGTTTTTTACGGTGGGAAGGCAAAGGTTTTGGTGTGGAGCAACGCAAAGTCTCTGACTGGTACGTCCTGTCGCGGAGGTGGCAATCGTCGTTTCTCTTAGCTATGATATTTGCTTTGTTCAATAATTCTATTGCACGAGTCCGGGCAGCTCGTAGTATTTCGGCAAACCGTTGGGCATGTGGCGTCGGAGTGTCCGAATTTGGCATTATAGGCATTGTTGGTTTCTATCCGTAGTTCACGTAAAAAAGTGACTGGTTGGTCGTGGATGACGAGGTGTTGTTGTGCGCAAACTCGAACAACAGTAGGTGCCGCTTGTCAGAGGTCCACTGGGGATCCCCGATGATCCTAGGGAAGGGTTACAGGCACGTTGGCTTGGGGGGTTATGGGCGCACTCACCCGCTATACAAACAAGCCCTTTTATCCCAGTGGTTAGTGACTGAGATTCTGACATGGTATCAGAGCGAAGGTCTCGGGTTCGAATCCCGGTGTGTGCACCTCGGGCATCCCAGTGCGGGGGGGTGTCAGAGGTCCACTGGGGATCCCCGATGATCCTAGGGAAGGGTTACAGGCATGTTGGCCTGGGGGGTTATGGGCGCACTCACCCGCTATACAAACAAGCCCTTTTATCCCAGTGGTTAGTGACTGGGATTCTGACACCGCTCTCATGCTGCGATGTCGTCATACGTGGCGCGAAGGAGCTGCTCCATTGTCCGATTCGTACGTTTTGTGTGTCTGTCGGTTTTGGGTGGTACGATGTGTTGAACTATAGAGGCCGCTGAACTGTTCCCACAGATTTTTTTCCATAAGTTACTCGTGAACTTTGTGACGCGGTCGCTGAAGATAGCAGCTGGTATCCCGTGGAGTCGAACGACGTCTGCCATGAACAGGCGAGCGGTAGCTTTGGCTGAGATGGGTTTCTTGCACACTGCGAAACAGACCATTTTTGTCAACCATGGTGTTAATACCAAACGGTCCTTTAGGTAACCCGATGACAAAATCCATGGTCACTTGCTGCCAGGCTCGTTTGGGTGGCGGGATCGGCTGCAGTTGTCTTGCCTGTTTTTTCCCCAGAAGACTTCATCACCAGGCATGTGGACACATGTTGCATGTCTTATAGCAGCTACGGCCAGTAGTGATATAGTTGCAATTGTGCTCGCATTTTTAATACGTCGAAATGACTCGAAGTACCCCTTGTGTGTCTCCTGCATGTACAGCCTTCATAGCAGTGGATACACTGGTACCCAAATACGGTTGGTACTAGCCTTTATATAATCATGTCCCTTTGTTTCTGTCTGCTGCTGTAAATTCTCGTTGGTGAAGAATGGGTCAATGCAATAGCCTTAGGTAAATAATATTGTGAGCAGTGGGTTGGATTGGGCGAGTAGGACGACGTGTAGCATCTTTGGAATTGCTACACTTTATTATGGAATTCCAAAAGTTTAATGCGGCTGGGCGGTGGGGCGAGTCAAGGCGTCGGCGACGTTTGATGCGCCTTTTGTGTATGTGTATTGGAAGTTGGACTCCAGATAGTACAATCAGTGGATTTGTGGTGAATCTTGGTTTGAATGGGCGCGAAGGTGCTATAACGAGCGATGATTGTCCGTACTGCCAAGTCTGCTCCTGACACTTCGAGCATTTTGCTATTGTGTTTCGGGAAGTTCCATTTGGACGAACGAAGCTTGCAAGATTCATACAGGACGACGGCGACGAGATGCTACTCGTGTCGAGTGCATGCAAGGTACGCGGTCGAGCCCGCTGCACTGTCCGCGTTCTCTGCACCGACCTTCGCCCCTACTTGATGAAGCATTCATCGACGTCGACCGAAGTGGTGGCTCTGCGGACAATCGCTTCTATGACGAAGTCGACCCCCGACCGGTGGCACGCGAGCGTCGACACGATTCAGAGTTCGCCGAAGCATGAAGTCTCCACCAGCCTCGATATCAAGTTGTCGACCGAAACCGACTTGCCGTGTGTCTCGTGCGTCGATGGGAAGCTGGTGCGACAGGAGGCATTGGCCGTCGTGCACATCGACTTGCGCTGCCGTTTCGAGTGGCTGCCAAGACCTCCACACTAAGTTCGTGTAGGTAAAGCCGGCCACTAAGAAGAGCGACCTGTTGGAGGTGTTCGAGAAATTGTCAAACATTGTATGTTTATATTGTGTAGGCTATAGTGGGTTTAGCCTTAGAGGGTACACAAACTTAGGGTTTCATACTTGTACCCACCTTCCTGCTAGTTCATCCATTCTCGTTCTATTCTAGATTCTGACATGGTATCAGAAGCCTAGGTTGCTACCTAGGACCGCTTTCTACAATGGGCCCACTATTCCGCTAGGCGCGCCCTCGTGCGCCCTACCTTACGTGCGCCCTCGTGCGCCCTACCTTACGTGCGCCCTCGTGCGCTCTACCTTACGTGCGCCCTCGTGCGCCCTCGTGCGCCTTTCTCTGCTAGTGCGCCTTCGTGCGCCCTCGTGCGCCCTCGTGCGCCCTCGTGCGCTCTCGAGCTGCCCCTGCAGGTCCGTCAGGCCCCCGAGCCGCCGCTGCAGGCCCGTCAGGCCCGAGAGCCGCCCCTGCACACCCGTCAGGCCCGCGCGCAGCCTCTGCACGACCGCGCGCCGCCCCTGCAGGCTCTCGCCGCCCGCCGCGTCGCCCTGCCCGTGGCGTCGCCGCCTTCCCGCGGCGTCGTTGCCTGCCCGCGACGTAGCCCCTGTCCGCGGCGTCGTCGCCTGCCCGCGGCGTCGTCGCCTGCCCGCGGCGTCGTCGCCTGCCCGCGGCGTCGTCCCCTGCCCGCGGCGTCGGCGCCTGCCCGCGGCGTCGTCGCCTACCCGCGGCGTCGCCACCTGCTAGCGGCGTCGCCCTACTCGCGGCGTCGCCACCTGCCCGCCGCGTCGCCCTGCCCGCGGCGTCGCCACCTGCCCGCCGCGTCGCCCTGACCTAATCCGCCTCTCGCCCCTGGAGCAGCCGCCACTGCAGCAGCAGCCCCTGGAGCCGCTCGCCACTGCAGCAGCCGCCCCTGGAGCCGCCCGTCACTGCAGCAGCCCCCTCTGGAGCAGCACGCACCTGCAGCAGCCGCCCCTGGAACAGCCCGCACCTGCAGCAGCCGCCCCTGGAGCAGCCCGCACCTGCAGCAGCCGCCCCAGTGGCACCTGGAGCAGCTGCCGTCGCGGCCCAGCCTCGCCCTGCCGCAGCTGCCGCGGAGCTCCCTGCTGCGGCCCGGCCCAGCCCTGCAGTTGTAGCGGCCCCACTGTCGCCACCGTCTTGCGCCTGCCGCGCCGACCACTGGTGAGCATTGCCCAGTACTGCTGCAACTGCCTTTTCTACTCCCACTGCCACTGCTCCTGCTGTTACTACTGTTACTGCCGCTACTGCTACTACTGCTGCTCCTGACGTGGCCAGATGCAGCTCCAGGGCTGTGCGCGTGAGTCCCCCACGCCCCAGCAGCTTCGTGCGCGTGAGTGGTACGCTAGTCGGGGCTGTCGGGGTGGCCGTAGTGGTAGTCGCTCTGGAGTGGGTCGGTCGGGAGCTTCTGGTAGTGGACAGGTGCAGCTGCCGTGTCCTCCTTCGCCCCAGCTGCTTCGTGCGCGTGAGTGGTACGCTAGTTTGGGCTGTCGGAGTGGCCGTAGTGGTAGTCGCTCTGGAGTGCATCGGTCGGGAGCTTCTGGTAGTGGACAGGTGCAGCAGCCGTGTCCTCCTTCGCCCCAGCTGCTTCGTGCGCGTGAGTGGTACGCTAGTTTGAGCTGTCGGAGTGGCCGTAGTGGTAGTCGCTCTGGAGTGCATCGGTCGGGAGCTTCTGGTAGTGGACAGGTGCAGCAGCCGTGTCCTCCTTCGCCCCAGCTGCTTCGTGCGCGTGAGTGGTACGCTAGTTTGGGCTGTCGGAGTGGCCGTAGTGGTAGTCGCTCTGGAGTGCATCGGTCGGGAGCTTCTGGTAGTGGACAGGTGCAGCAGCCGTGTCCTCCTTCGCCCCAGCTGCTTCGTGCGCGTGAGTGGTACGCTAGTTTGAGCTGTCGGAGTGGCCGTAGTGGTAGTCGCTCTGGAGTGCATCGTTCGGGAGCTTCTGGTAGTGGACAGGTGCAGCTGCCGTGTCCTGTCAGTGAGGCTGCCGCTCTAGGTGCTAGTACGTCTGTTGCCCTAGGTGCTGGTGAGGCTGCTACTCTAGGTCCTAGTGAGTCTGCGCCCCCTGGTACTGAGTCGACTGAGGCCCTGCACACCTTCACCCTGGACTCAGGTGCTTCTCGCTGTTTCTTTCGTGACCGCACTGCCCTTGAGCCGCTTGCTCGGCCAGTTGCTGTCTCCCTCGCTGACCCCTCTGGGGGTCTGGTCATTGCGACCTCCTCCACTGTTCTTCCCTGTCCTGCGGTCCCGTCGGGCACACTGTCAGGTCTCCACCTCCCCTCGTTCTCTACGAACCTGGTGGCGGGTTGTGCGCTCCAGGATGCGGGTGTTCACCAGTTCACCCCTGCCTACGAGCGCGTGACACACTGCACGTGTGCTCGGACGGGCCGTCACCTGGCTACCTTCACTCGGCAGCCGGGGTCGGACCTGTACACACTGACCACTGAGTCCCCTCAGGTAGCTGCGTCCGCGTCTGCGTCAGGTCAGCTGTCGGCCCCCTGCTCGTGTCGCTCTCTGGCGCACGACACCGTTCTCTGGCACCACCGACTTGGCCACCCGTCTGTGCAGCGCCTTCGTGCCATGCACAAACGGCAGCTTGTCTCTGGTCTTCCCAGGGTGCTCCCTCCCCTCCCACCCTCGCCTGCTCCTCCCTGTCTTCCCTGTGTCGAGGGGCGGCAGCGCGCCGCTCCTCACTCCTCCTCCTTTCCCCCGACGACTGCTCCCCTGCAGACGCTCCACCTGGACGTGTGGGGCCCAGCCCGCGTCCGTGGACAGGGTCAGGAGAGGTACTTCCTGATTGTTGTTGACGACTACTCTCGCTACACCACGGTCTTCCCCTTGCGCACCAAGGGTGAGGTCCCTGATGTCTTGATCCCTTGGATCAGCAGAGCTCGTCTCCAGCTCAGCAAGCGTTTCCGCTCGGACTTTCCTGTCCTGCGTTTGCACTCTGACAGAGGTGGTGAGTTCACCTCCGACCTTCTGGCAGCCTACTGTGCCGAGCACGGCATTGAGCAGTCGTTCACGCTTCCGGCCTCTCCACAGCAGAATGGGGTTGCTGAGCGCCGCATTGGCTTGGTCATGGAGGTCGCTCGTACCTCCCTGATCCATGCGGCTGCTCCCCATTTTCTGTGGCCGTTTGCGGTCCGATACGCTGCGCATCAGCTCAACCTCTGGCCCCGTGTCTCTTTGCCGGAGACTTCCCCGACACTGCGTTGGACGGGAGAGGTTGGCGATGCGTCGCGTTTCCGGGTCTGGGGATCCCGAGCTTTTGTTCGCGACACGTCCGCGGACAAGCTCTCCCGTCGCGCTGTTCCTTGTGTCTTCCTTGGCTTTGTCCCGGACGCCCCTGGTTGGCAGTTTTACCACGTCACCTCGCGCCGGGTTCTGCCCTCTCAGGACGTCACTTTTGACGAGTCCGTCCCCTACTACCGCCTCTTCCCCTACCGCACTGCCCCGCTCCCTCCCCCGCCTCTCTTCCTCGCGCCAGGTGCTGCTGTGGTAGACCCCCTCCCCCCTCAGGGTGCCGCTCCCTCAGGTGTGTCCCAGGTAGACCCGGTTGAGCCTGTCGAGGTCGCTGTCGACTCTCGTCCTGCTAGGGGTGCTGCACCTGCGAGTGAGGAGCCTGGCGGTGCTGAGTCTGGGGGTGCGGAGCCTGGGGGTGCTGAGCCTGGGGGTACTGAGTCTGGGGGTGCGGAGCCTGGGGGTGCAGACCTTGGAGGTGCGGAGCCTGGGGGTGCTGAGCCTGGAGGTGCTGAGTCTGGGGGTGCTGAGCCTGAGAGTGCCACACCTGGAGGAGCCCTCTCCTCGCAGCAGCTGCAGGAGAGGTACCTACAGTACTGCGACCTCCGGAGAGGTGCTGCTGGAGCGGGTACCAGTGCTTCCCCTCCTACCCGGGAGCTCCCCTCCCTTCAGCAGATCCGAGAGTGGTACACACGGCGCTGCAGCCTTCGGAGTGGCGCTCCTGGTGCTGCGGACCCTGGAGTTGGAGCTGCTGCTGGTGCTGAGGACCCGGGCGGTGGAGCTGCTGCTGGTGCGGAGGACCCGGCCGGTGGAGCTGCTGCTGGTGCTACGGACCCTGGAGTTGGAGCTACTGCTGGTGCTGAGGACCCGAGCGGTGGAGCTACTGCTGGTGCTGAGGACCCGAGCGGTGGAGCTGCTGCTGGCGCTGAGGACCCGAGGGGTGGAGCTGCTGCTGGTGCTGAGGACCCGGGCAGTGGAGCTGCTGCTGGTGCTGAGGACCCGGGCGGTGGAGCTACTGCTGGTGCTGAGGACCCTGGCGCTGGTGTCTCTGCTGGTTCTGGAGACGCTGCGCGGCCGCGACCGTACTTCGTACCACTCCTTCAGCAGGTTCTTGGTCAGGCTCCTCCTCCTTGTCCTGCTCCCTCCTTAGAGTGTCCTCCGCCTGTCCAGTCGCAGTCCCAGTTACCGCCTGCCTCGCCTCTCCCTGCTCCCTCTCCTTACACTGGTCCCACAGGAGGTCTTACGGAGCGTCGTGAGCCTGAGTCTCGTCCTGCGTCGCCTGTTTGTACTGCTCGCACTGGTCGTCGTGTCCCACGTGAGCGTCCTCCTCCTGTCCCTGGCACTCACTACATGACCCTGCGTCCCTCCACTGCTCCTCAGCGTGTCCCTCTACCGTCTCCTCCTGCGTCCTCTCTACCTACTCTTCCTGACTCGGAGTCTGACTCCCGTCGTGCTGCCAGTCCCACTGTCACGCGTCTCCTCGCCACTGTTGTCACTGACCCTACCTTTGAGTCCTCTGCTGCGTCTGCTCTGGTCGCTGAGTTGGTTGACTTTGCTGCCCGGTGTCGTCTAGACTACGCCGCTAGCCTTGTTGCTGAGTCTGAGTCTGTCTGTCCTCCGTCCGTCGGGGGTGAGTGTGCTCTTGGTACGGACGTCCTTGAGGACAGACAGGAGGAGTTCCAGTGCTTTGCTGCTGCTTTGCCCCATCTCGTGTCCATGCTAGTTGCCCCTGAGGGAGACCCGGATGCACCAGACATCCCGACCCCGCGCTCTTACGCAGAGGCGATGGCGGGTCCCTACTCCTCTCAGTGGCAGACAGCCATGGACGCAGAGATGGCTTCCTGGAAGTCCACAGGCACCTACGTCGACGAGGTTCCCCCACCTGGGGCGAACATCGTCAGTGGCATGTGGATTTTCAGGGTGAAGCGGCCGCCGGGTTCTCCTCCTGTCTTCAAGGCGCGCTACGTTGCTCGAGGCTTCAGTCAGCGAGAGGGAGTAGACTTCTTCCAGACCTTCTCCCCCACCCCGAAGATGACTACTCTTCGAGTGCTGCTGCACATAGCCGCTCAGCGCGACTACGAGCTTCACTCACTTGACTTCAGCACAGCTTTCTTGCAGGGCAGCCTGCACGAGGAGATCTGGCTGCGCCACCCTCCTGGCTTCACTGGGTCGGTTCCTCCTGGCACCCAGTGGAGGCTCCAGCGACCGGTCTACGGTCTCCGCCAGGCGCCGCGTGAGTGGCACGACACACTGAGGACTACACTTGCGGCTCTTGGGTTCGCTCCTTCTACTGCTGACCCGTCGCTGTTTCTACGCACCGACACCTCGCTGCCGCCATTCTACATCCTCGTGTACGTCGACGACTTGGTCTTTGCCACTGCTGACACTGCGGCACTCGCCCACATGAAGTCGGAGCTGCAGAAGAGACACACGTGCACAGACCTGGGTGAACTGACAAGCTATCTTGGCTTGCGGATCACCCGGGACAGAGCACGGCGCACCATTACCTTGACTCAGTCACACATGGTGCAGCAGATCCTTCAGCGCTTCTGCTTCACGTACTCCTCGCCACAGTCCACTCCTCTGCCTACAGGTCACTCGCTCTTAGCTCTGCCTTCGGATGAGTCCGTAGAGCCGAGTGGCCCGTATCCAGAGCTTGTGGGCTGCCTCATGTACCTGATGACCTGCACTCGACCTGACCTTGCATACCCTCTTAGCATCCTTGCACGCTATGTCGCTCCTGGCCGTCACAGGAAGGAGCACATGGATGCTGCTAAGAGGGTGTTGCGCTACTTGTGCAGTACGTCGGGCATGGGGCTAGTGCTTGGAGGGCGAGACCGAGTTGTACTCACTGGTCACTCAGACGCTTCTTGGGCGGACGACCAGGCTACTCAGCGGTCGTCTCAGGGTTACACCTTCAGCCTTGGCTCCGGCTCAGTTTCTTGGCGTTCCACACGCTCTTCTTCTGTTCTCAGCTCCAGTTGTGAGGCTGAGATCTACGCCACAGCCATGGCGGCCTAGGAGCTACGCTGGCTGACCTACCTGCTGACCGACTTGGGAGAGCGGCCTCGTTCTCCTCCAATGCTGTACGTCGACAACAAGGCTGCCATTGCCTTGTGTGAGGAGCACAGACTGGAGCACAGAATGAAGCACATCGCCCTGCGGTACTTCCTTGCTCAAGAGCTGCAGCAGCGTGGTCAGCTTTGTCTGCGTTACGTGGCCACTGAGGCCAACACTGCTGATGTGTTCACCAAGGCGCTTCAGCCTTGTGACCATCAGCGCTTCTGTACTCTTCTAGGCCTTGTGCCTGCTGGACCTCACTTGCTTACTTCTTGACTCTGTTTGTACTGTGATCTCTATATATATACCTGCATGCTTACACTTGCTAGGTTGCGATCACTGTATCTCTTGCTATATTATCAAACTGCATGTGAACTGGTCTTGTGACCGCTTGCTTGTGCTCGGAATTTGTGTGGTATCCTTGAGATCCACCCTGAGCCTGTTTTGCTTTGCTTTGCTTTGACTGGTCTTGTGACCCTCTGGTTGTCTCCCACTTCGCCTATGGGGGTGTGTCAAACATTGTATGTTTATATTGTGTAGGCTATAGTGGGTTTAGCCTTAGAGGGTACACAAACTTAGGGTTTCATACTTGTACCCACCTTCCTGCTAGTTCATCCATTCTCGTTCTGTTCTAGATTCTGACAGAAATGGCTGCTGGTGGTAGAGCGACACATGAAGAAAAAGGTAATAATGCTTCGTTCCGACCGGGGAGGGGAGTTCCTCGGGAAGGACATCGCCAACTTCGTCAACGGCAAGGGCATCGTCCACGGCCTGACCTGCCTGTATATTGTGCAGCAGAACGGCATGGCAGAGTGGGAGATGCACACGGTCGTTGAGTCTGTGCGAACAATGCGGCTGCACATGCTAGTGCAACACCACTGGTCGCACCTCGTCCTGCGGCAAGCCGTCTGGATGCGCAATTGCTTGGAGTGGTCGACGACGCCACCGGGGAAAACTCCGTACCAGCTGTTAACGGGCAAGAAGCCCGACCTTACGCTGGCATGGGTGTGGGGCTGCATGGTGCAGTTCATGGTCCCCGAGCAGCAGTGCGGTGGGAATCTGCCGACGGGGGCTCACTGGGGGCTTCACCTCGGTGTGTTGCAGGAAAGCAAAGGCTGGGAGCTCCTCGACCTCACAGACAACAAGCTCGTCACTACGGTGGAGGCAAAATTCTACGAGACCTAGTAACTGGAGGTGTGGAAGGTGAAGTATGGGCCGGCGTCAGGATAAACGCAGGCCAGCCAGCCGACAGACATCTCGACCGCGCCTCTCCCTTTGATCGCAGAGATTGGCGAGCCAGCTGATGAGGACATCGAGGACCTTAGGGTTTCCTACTTGTATCAAACGTTCTGCTAGTTCAATCATTCCTGCTTCAATTATTCTGACACTGGGTGGTCGACCTGGTTGACCAGGTTATCTCCTGGTCTGCGAAGGCGTGCGATCGTCGTCAAAGCTCGACATTAAAAACGCCTTCCTACCAGAGCAATCTCGACTAGATGCTCTACATGTACCAGCCGGACTACTATAAGGACGGGACCAACCGGGTGCGCAAGCTGCTGAAGAGTTTGTACAGGCTGAAGAAGTCGCCGCTGCTGTGGTTCAAGGCGCTCGACAACGTGCTGACTGGCGCCGGCAGAAGAGCCAGGTCGACGAGGCGCTGTACTTTAAGGTCGGCGACAGCGGAATGACTTGTTGAGTGCTTTTCTACGTCGACGACCTGCTCGCGGAGCTGCTAGAGGCCGCCTTTGAGCTGCACGAGTTCTCGCCAGTCGTAAAGTACCTTGGACTGGAGTTCGTGCGCGATAGGCCGGCAAGGAAGCTGTGGCTGCACCAGCAGAGCTACGTCGACAAGCTGCGAATGTGCTTCATCGACGAGGAGCATGGTGGTCGAATCCCGAAGACCCTGGTTGTCGTCGACGCCTACGATGAGCTAACGTTCAACGACGAAGAGGCGAGGAGGAGTATCGGCAGAAGGTCGGCTCGCTGCAGTTCGCGGCAACGACGACGAGGCCGGACATTGCCTTTGCGTGCAGCAAGCTGGGCAGCGGCCTCACGGTGAGGAGCGACTAGCATTGGTGCGAGGTCGACCGCTGCCTCGCCTACCTCGCCGACACCCGTGATACCACCCTGGAGTTTCGCGATGAACCAGAGTTCATTGTCTCGTCGGCCACGTGGATGCCGATGGCACGGGCGACAAGTAGAATCGGACGAGCATGGGTTGCTACGTGTTCGTCTTCGGAGGGGCCGCCGTCTTTTGGGCGAGTCAGAGCATCAAGTCTCTCGTCGACCCACTCAGAGTACGTCGCAACCACGGAAGCCGGCAATGAGGCTCGTCGACTGCGCTTCCTCCTTGCAAAGTTCCAGCTGCTCGACACTGGGATGTCAACCGTCCTTCAGGTGGACAACGAGTCGGCTATCACGGTCGCTGAAGGCTTGGGGCTGAAGGGCAACCTCAAGCACATGGAGCATCACTACACCTAGCTGCAACAGATGGTGAAGCGCGGGAAGATCGCACTAAAGTACCTCCCGACTTCTGAGGCGCCGGCCGACTTCCTTGCGAAGGGGCTGCACTTTCCGGCCTTCAACCATTGCTCCATCGCAATCGGCCAAGTGCGCCTGATCGACACCTGTGACGGGGACGACGACGTGCAGCAGTAGGTGCTATGCCCTTTTGCACAGCTGGTGCGGTGACGGCTTGCTGCGTGTTGGGTGCACGTCGGCAACAAGTATTCTCCGTAGAGTTCTGCCGTGCGAGTTGGGTGGCAAATCGTGTGCACGGCAGGGGAGCGTTGATGGAAATATGGTGAAGGCCTGCCCTCACTTGGGTGAAGCCGACATAGTGGTCGGGTGCGTGGGAGAAGCAGCCGACCGTCGCTATGCCTCAGCCAGGGCGTGAAGGCCGACAAGGTGGTCGACCTGTGAGTGATGGTCGCCGCCGTCGATGGGAGCTGGCAGCCTACTTGTGTGGGGTAGGTCGACAAAGGTGGTCGTCAACCTGCGGGACTGACAAGGAGCCGTCAACGAGGGGAGTTAAACGACTGCAACTAATTGAGTTTGTCGATGGATGGGCCGTCAACCAGGGTGGTCTTCGATGGAAGCAAAGGTCGACAAGGGAGGTCGTCGACCTGGACGCTGGGTGTCAAACATTGCATGTTTAAGTTGTGTAGGCTGTAGTGGGTTACACCTTAGGGGGTACACAAACTTAGGGTTTCCTACTTGTATCAATCTTTCTGCTAGTTCATTCATTCCTGCTTCAGTTATTCTGACATGGTTTCAGAGCAGGTCCTTCGCTAGGACCTAATTTTTTTCGGGCCCACCACTACTGACTGCCTATTAGCGCCTTCGTGCACCCTACTGTCGAAGCGCGCCCTAGCGCCTCCCCCCCAGCGCCCTCGCGCGCCTCTCTTTTTCGGCCCCTTAAGGCCCCGTCGACCCCATGCACCGCTCTTTTGCGACTCGCGCGCCGCCCCGCTGGCCCCGTCGACCCCGCGCGCGCCCCGCTTAGAGGCCCCGCTGGCCCCGTCGACCCCGCGCGCGACTCGCTTAGAGGCCCCGCTGGCCCCGTCGACCCGCGCGCGTCCCCCCTTAGAGGCCCCGCTGGCCCCGTCGACCCCGCGCACGCCTTGCTTAGAGGCCCCGCTGGCCCCGTCGACCCCGCGCGCGCCCCGCTTAGAGGCCCCGCTGGCCCCGTCGACCCCGCGCGCGCCCCGCCTAGAGGCCTTACCGGCCCCGTCGACCCCGCGCGCCGCCCCTTAGCGGCCCCGTCGACCCTACCCGCCGCCCCTTAACGCCCCGCACGCGACAGCCACGGCCCCGCCAGACCCAGGCCGCCCGAACCGAGCTGCCCGAACCGAGCCGCCCGTACTGTGCAGCTTCTCGGGACCGAGCCGCCCTACCTGAGTCGCGCTGCCTACTGCTGTTAGGGTGCACCTACTACTGCTACTATGGCTAGTCCTCCTGTCCTAGCATTCGATGCTGAGGGCCGCCCAGTGAAATTTGACACCTGGCTAGATGACCTGCACCTCTTCCTACAGCTCACTGCCAAGGAGGACATCTCACTGTACGATCATGCCTTCGGCCATGCTCCTGCCCCTCCTGTCAAACATTATATATATGTTGTGGTTGTTTAGGCTACAGTGGGTTAGCCTATAGGGGGTACACAATTCTAGGGTTAGGTACTTGTACTGATTTCACTGTTAGTTCAATCATTCCAGTCCGTTCATTCTGACATGGTATCAGAGCAGACGCAGCAGAGGACTCAAAGGTAGGGTCAGTGACAACAGTAGCGAGGAGACGGGTGACAGTGGGACTGGCAGCACGACGGGAGTCAGACTCCGGATCAGGAAGAGTAGGCAGAGAGGACGCAGGAGGAGACGGCAGCGGAACACGCTGAGGAGCAGTGGAGGGACGCAGAGTCATGTAGTGAGTGCCAGGGACAGGAGGAGGACGCTCACGTGGGACACGACGACCAGTGCGAGCAGTACGAACAGGCGACGCAGGACGAGACGCAGGCTCACGACGCTCTGCAAGACCTCCTGTGGGACCAGTGTAAGGAGAGGGACCAGGGAGAGGCGAGGCAGGCGGGAACTGTGACTGCGACTGGACAGGCGGAGGACACTCTACGGAGGGAGGAGGACAAAGAGGAGGAGCCTGACCAAGAACCTGCTGAAGAAGTGGTACGAAGTACGGTCGCGGCCGCGCAGCGTCTCCAGAACCAGCAGAGACACCAGCGGCAGGGTCCTCAGCACCAGCAGCAGCTCCAACGTCCGGGTCCTCAGCACCAGCAGCAGCTCCACCGCTCGGGTCCTCAGCACCAGCAGCAGCTCCACCGTCCGGGTCCTCAGCTCCAGCAGTAGCTCCAACGCCCGGGTCCTCAGCACCAGCAGCAGCTCCAACGCCCGGGTCCTCAGCACCAGCAGCAGCCCCAACGCCCGGGTCCTCAGCACCAGTAGCAGCGCCACCCCCAGGGTCCGCAGCACCAGGAGCACCACTCCGAAGACTGCAGCGCCGCGTGTACCACTCTCGGATCTGCTGAATGGGGGGGAGCTCCTGGGCAGGAGGGGAAGCACTGGTACGAGCTCCAGTAGCACCTCTCCGGAGGCGGCAGTACTGTAGGTACCTCTCCTGCAGCTGCCGGGAGGAGAGGGCTCCTCCAGGTGTAGCACGCTCAGGCTCAGCACCCTCAGACTCAGCACCCCCAGACTCAGCACCCCCAGGCTCAGCACCCCCAGGCTCAGCACCTCCAGGCTCAGCACCCCCAGACTCAGCACCCCCAAGCTCAGCACCCCCAGGCTCCGCACCTCCAGGCTCAGCACCCCCAGGCTCCGCACCTCCAGACTCAGCACTCCCAGGCTCAGCACCCCCAGACGCAGCACCCCCAGGCTCAGCACCCCCAGGCTCAACACCCCTTGCAGGAAGAGAGTCGACAGCCACCTCGACAGGCTCACCCGGGTCTACCTGGGACACACCTGAGGGAGCGGCACCCTGAGGGGGGAGGGGGTCTGGTACCTCAGCACCTGGAGCGAGGAAGAGAGGCGGGGGGGGGAGCGGAGCAGTGCGGTAGGGGAAGAGGCGGTAGTAGGGGACGGACTCGTCAAAAGTGACGTCCTGAGAGGCCAGGACACGACGCGAGGTGGCGTGGTAGAACTGCCAACCAGGCGCGTCCGGGACAAAGCCAAGGAAGACACAGGGGACAGCGCGACGGGAGAGCTTGTCCGCGGACGTGTCGCGAACAAAAGCTCGGGATCCCCAGACCCGAAAACGCGATGCATCGCCAGCCTCTCCCGTCCAACGCAGTGTCGGAGAAGTCTCCGGCAAGGAGACACGGGGCTAGAGGTTGAGCTGATGCGCAGCGTATCGGACCGCAAACGGCCACAGAAAGTGGGGGGGCAGCCGCATGAACCAAGGAGGTACGAGCTACCTCCATGACCAAGCCAATGCGGCGCTCAGCAACCCCATTCTGCTGTGGAGAGGCCGGAAGCGTGAACGACTGCTCAATGCCCTCCTGCTGACAGAAGGTCTCCAAGAGGCCAGAGGAAAACTCCCCACCTCTGTCAGAGTGCAGACGCAGGACAGGGAAGTCGGAGCGGAAACGCTCACTGAGCTGGAGACGAGATCTGCGGATCCAGGGGATCAAGACATCAGGGACCTCACCCTTGGTGCGCAAGGGGAAGACCGTGGTGTAGCGCGAGAAGTCGTCAACAACAATCAGGAAGTACCTCTCCTGACCCTGACCACGGACGCGGGCTGGGCCCCACACGTCCATGTGGAGTGTCTGCAAAGGAGCAGTCGTCGGGGGAAAGGAGGAGGAGTGAGGAGCGGTGCGCTGCCGCCCCTCGACACAGGGAAGACAGGGAGGAGCAGGCGAGGGTGGGAGGGGAGGGAGAACCCTGGGAAGACCAGCAACAAGGTCCCGTTTGTGCATGGCCCGAAGGCGCTGCATAGACGGGTGACCAAGACGGTGGTGCCAGAGGACAGTCTCATGCGCCAGAGAGCGACACGAGCAGGGGGCGGACAGCTGACCTGACGCAGACGCAGACGCGGACGCAGCTACCTGAGGGGACGTAGTGGTCAGTGTGTATAGGTCCGACCCCGGCTGCCGAGTGAAGGTAGCCAGGTGACGGCCCGTCCGAGCACACGTGCAGTGCGTCACGCGCTCGTATGCAGGGGTGAACTGGTGAACACCCCCGTCCTGGAGCGCACTACCTGCCACCAAGTTCGTAGAGAACGAGGGGAGGTAGAGACCTGACAGTGTGCCTGACGGGACCGCAGGACAAGGAAGGACAGTGGAGGAGGTCGCAATGACCGGACCCCCAGAGGGGTCAGCGAGGGAGACCGCAACTGGCCGAGCGAGTGGCTCAAGGGCAGTGCGGTCACGAAAGAAACAGCGAGAAGCACCAGAGTCCAGTGTGAAGGTGTGAAGTGCGGCAGTCGACTCAGTACCAGGGGGGACGGACTCACGAGCACCTAGAGCAGCAGCCTCACCAGGACCTGGGGCAGCAGACTCACTAGCACCTAGAGCGGCAGCCGGACTGGTCAGAATGCCCGGGTCGGGCGGAACACGCAAGTACTGGGCACCCTCTCCACTAGTAAACATCGCATACATGGCAGTGAGAATAGCATCAAAGTCTAAAGGCAATGGCAGTGTGTGCTCCAGTCTGTGCTCCTCACACAAGGCAATGGCAGCCTGGTTGTCGACGTACAGCACTGGAGGAGAACGAAGCACATCGCTCTGCGGTACTTCCTTGCTCGAGAGCTGCAGCAGCGTGGTCAGCTTCGTCTGCGTTACGTGGCCACAGAGGCCAACCTTGCTGATGTGTTCACCAAGGCGCTTCAGCCTTGTGACCATCAGCGTTTCTGTACTCTTCTGGGCCTTGTGCCTGCTGGACCTCACTTACTTACCTCTTGACTCTGCTTGTACTGTGATCTGTATATATATACCTGCATGTTTACTCCTGCTAGGCTGTGTTCACTGTATCTCTTGCTATATTATCAACCTGCATGTGAACTGGTCTTGTGACCACTTGCTTGTGCTCAGAATTTGTGTGGTATCCTTGAGATCCACCCTGAGCTTGTTTTGCTTTGCTTTGACTGGTCTTGTGACCCCTTGCTCTCCCCCACTTTGCCTATGGGGGTGTGTCAAACATTATATATATGTTGTGGTTGTTTAGGCTACAGTGGGTTAGCCTATAGGGGGTACACAATTCTAGGGTTAGGTACTTGTACTGATTTCACTGTTAGTTCAATCATTCCAGTCCGTTCATTCTGACACCTCCTACTACTGCTGACAGCACTGCCCGCTCACAGTGGCAGACTCGTGACGCCCACGCTCGCTTCGCTATTCGCAACTCCCTACCGATAGATGAGCGCGAGCACTTTGGCCAGCACAAGACTGCTCAGGAACTGTACACTGCTGTCATTCCTGCTACTCCTCACCTGCTCTTGCCGCACTAGGCCGCCTCTCACTGCCCTACCTATTCCCTGACCTGGAAACCCTAAACACAGTTGCTGACCTCATCACGCACCTCAAAACTAATGAGGCCTGCTTCCGTGCTGCTAAGCCCGATGAGTTCTGGCTCACTCTCTACCACATCGTCACCCGCCTCCCTGACTCTCTGCGTGCAGTCAGGGATCACTTCCTAGCTCGCTGCCCCACTGAGCTCACCATTGCCCTCCTCGAGAAGGAACTCCTTGCAGCTGAGGCGAGCATCGTCGCTGTAGGTGCCTCTCGTGGCGACCCCCGCACCCCTTTCTTTGAGGGGTGTTCCCCTTCCCCCCTTCTCCCCTCTGTAGCCTCTGCTTCTGCTGTCGACCTCCATGGTGCTGAGAAGGTCGGGATTGCGTCCGCTCCGAGCGGGCGCCGCAGGGGCAAAGGGGGCAAGGGAGGCGGAGGTGATGGCGGGGGAGGTGGTGGTGGAGGCGTGGCGGCGGTGGGGGTGCTGGTGGGGCTGGAGGGACTAGTGGCAGCGGTGGGGGTGGTGACGGCAGCGGCGGGGGCAGTGGCAGGGGCGGGGGCGGTGGTGGGGGCGGCGGTGGTCGCGGCGGCGGCAGAGGAGGGGGTGGTCGAGGCGGTGGCGGCGGCGGTGGTAGTCGTGGAGGCGGTGGCAGTGGCCAGAGCCAGCAGCACACTCCGTCGCTCCAGGAGGCCCGTGAGTGGTACTCTCAGCACGGGGGGCGGGGGGGGGGGGGGGGGGGGGGGGGGGGGGGGGGGCGGGTGGCCTTAGCTGCACGTACGTCATCCGCACTGGTGACCGCACTGGTCAGACGTGTGGGAGGCCGCACCCCACGCAGCGCTGTTTCTCTCGCCTTGACGACGCTTGGCGTACTCAGTTCCCTGATGCCACTGAGCTGCCCCGCTGGGCTGATCTGATGAGGAAGGGAGTTGATATCTATGCACTAGACTTTGATGCTATTCTCACTGCCATGTATGTGATGTTTACTAGTGGAGAGGGTGCTCAGTACCTGCGTGTTCCGCCCGACCCGGGCATTGAGACCAGCCCGGGTCGGGCATTCGGACCAGTGAGGCTGCCGCTCTAGGTGCTAGTGAGACTGCCACTCCAGGTACTCGCGTGTCTGCTACCCCAGGTGCTGGTGAGGCTGCTGCTCTAGGTGCTCGTGAGTCTGTGCCCCCTGGTACTGAGTCGACTGCGGCACTGCACACCTTCACACTGGACTCAGGTGCTTCTCGCTGTTTCTTTCGTGACCGCACTGTCCTTGAGCCACTCGCTCGGCCAGTTGCAGTCTCCCTCGCTGACCCCTCTGGGGGTCCGGTCATTGCAACCTCCTCCACTGTCCTTCCTTGTCCTGCGGTCCCGTCGGGCACTCTGTCAGGTCTCCACCTCCCCTCGTTCTCTACGAACTTGGTGGCGGGCTGTGCGCTCCAGGACGGGGGTGTTCACCAGTTCACCCCTGCCTACGAGCGCGTGACACACTGCACGTGTGCTCGGACGGGCCGTCACCTGGCTACCTTCACTCGGCAGCCGGGGTCGGACCTGTACATACTGACCACTGAGTCCCCTCAGGTAGCTGCGTCTGCGTCTGCGTCAGGTCAGCTGTCGGCCCCCTGCTTGTGTCGCTCTCTGGCGCACGAGACCGTCCTCTGGCACCACCGACTTGGTCACCCGTCTGTGCAGCGCCTTCGTGCCATGCACAAACGGTACCTTGTCTCTGGTCTTCCCAGGGTTCTCCCTCCCCTCCCACCCTCGCCTGCTCCTCCCTGTCTTCCCTGTGTCGAGGGGCGGCAGCGCGCCGCTCCTCACTCCTCCTCGTTTCCCCCGACGACTGCTCCCTTGCAGACGCTCCACATGGACGTGTGGGGCCCAGCCCGCGTCCGTGGATAGGGTCAGGAGAGGTACTTCCTGATCGTTGTTGACGACTACTCGCGCTACACCACGGTCTTCCCCTTGCGCACCAAGGGTGAGGTCCCTGATGTCTTGATCCCTTGGATCCGCAGAGCTCGTCTCCAGCTCAGCGAGCGTTTCCGCTCGGACTTTCCTGTCCTGCGCCTGCACTCTGACAGAGGTGGTGAGTTTGCCTCCGACCTCTTGGCAGCCTACTGTGCGGAGCACGGCATTGAGCAGTCGTTCATGCTTCCGGCCTCTCCCCAGCAGAATGGGGTTGCTGAGCGCCGCATTGGCTTGGTCATGGAGGTTGCTCGTACCCCCTTGATTCATGCAGCTGCCCCCCACTTTCTGTGGCCGTTTGCGGTCCGATACGCTACGCATCAGCTCAACCTCTGGCCCCGTGTCTCCTTACCGGAGACTTCCCCGACACTGCGGTGGACGGGAGAGGTTGGCGATGCGTCGCATTTTCGGGTCTGGGGATCCCGAGCTTTTGTTCGCGATACGTCTGCGGACAAGCTCTCCTCCCGCGCTGTTCCTTGTGTCTTCCTTGGCTTTGTCCCGGACGCGCCTGGTTGGCAGTTTTACCACGCCACCTCGCGCCGGGTTCTGCCTTCTCAGGACGTCACTTTCGACGAGTCCGTCCCCTACTACCGCCTCTTCCCCTACCGCACTGCCCCACTCCCCCCCCCGCCTCTCTTCCTCGCGCCAGGTGCTGCTGTGGTAGACCCCCTTCCCCCTCAGGGTGCCGCTCCCTCAGGTGTGTCCCAGGTAGACCCGGTTGAGCCTGTCGAGGTAGCTGTCGACTCTCGTCCTGCTAGGGGTGCTGAGTCTGAGCGTGCGGAGCCTGGGAGTGCGGAGCCTGGGGGTGCTGAGCCTGGAGGTGCTGAGCCTGGGGGTGCTGAGCCTGTGGGTGCTGAGCCTGGGGGTGCGGAGTCTGGGGGTGCTGAGTCTGGGGGTGCTGAGTCTGGAGGTGCTGAGCCTGGGAGTGTTAGACCTGGAGGAGCCCTCTCCTCCCAGCAGCTGCAGGAGAGGTACTTACAGTACTGCAGCCTCAGGAGAGGTGCTTCTGGAGCCAGGAGTGCTGCTGGAGCTGGTACTAGTGCTTCCCCTCCTAGACGGGAGCTGCCCTCCCTTCAGCGGATCCGAGAGTGGTACACGCGGCGCTGCAGTCTTCGGAGTGGCGCTCCTGGTGTCACGGACCCTAGTACTGCAGGTGCTGCTGCTGCAGGTGGTGCTGCTGGAGCCGCTTGGAGGAGCTGCTGGTGCTGAGGACCCGGACGTTGGAGCTGCTACTGGTGCTGCGGACCCTGGAGTTGGAGCTGTGGCTGGTGCTGAGGACCCGGGCGTTGGAGCTGCTGCTGGTGCTGCGGACCCTGGAGTTGGACCTGTGGCTGGTGTTGAGGACCCGGGCGTTGGAGCTGCTGCTGGTGCTGCGGACCCTGGAGTTGGACCTGTGGCTGGTGCTGTGGACCCGGACGTTGGAGCTGCTGCTGGTGCTCCGGACCCGGGAGTTGGAGCTGCTGCTGGTGCTGAGGACCCTGACGCCGGTATCTCTGCTGGTTCTGGAGACGCTGCGCGGCCGCGACCGTACTTCGTCCCGCTTCTTCAGCAGGTTCTTGGTCAGGCTCCTCCTCCTTGCCCTCCACCCTCCTTAGAGTGTCCTCCGCCTGTCCAGTCGCAGTCATAGTTACCGCCTGCCTCGCCTCTCCCTGGTCCTTCTCCTTACACTGGTCCCACAGGAGGTCTTACGGAGTGTCGTGAGCCTGAGTCTCGTCCTGTGTCGCCTGCGTCTCGCTCTGCGTCGCCTGTTCGTGCTGCTCGCACTGGTCGTCGTGTCCCACGTGAGCGTCCTCCTCCTGTCCCTGGCACTCACTACATGACTCTGCGTCCCTCCACTGCTCCTCAGCGTGTCCCTCTGCCGTCTCCTCCTGCGTCCTCTCTTCCTACTCTTCCTGACCCGGAGTCTGACTCTCTTCGTGCTGCCAGTCCCACTGTCACGCGTCTCCTCGCCACTGTTGTCACTAACCCTACCTTTGAGTCCTCTGCTGCGTCTGCTCTGGTCGCTGAGTTGGTTGACTTTGCTGCCAGGTGTCGTCTGGACTACGCTGCTAGCCTTGTTGCTGAGTCTGAGTCTATCTGTCCTCCGTCCGTCGGGGTGAGTGTGCTCTTGGCACGGACGTCCTTGAGGACAGACAGGAGGAGTTCCAGTGCTTTGCTGCTGCTTTGCCCCATCTCGTGTCCATGCTAGTTGCCCCTGAGGGAGACCCGGATGCACCAGACATCCCGACTCCGCGCTCTTATGGCGGGTCCCTACTCCTCTCAGTGGCAGACAGCCATGGACGCAGAGATGGCTTCCTGGAAGTCCACAGGCACCTACGTCGACGAGGTTCCCCCACCTGGGGCAAACATCGTCAGTGGCATGTGGATTTTCAGGGTGAAGCGGCCGCCGGGTTCTCCTCCTGTCTTCAAGGCGCGCTACGTTGCTCGAGGCTTCAGTCAGCGAGAGGGAGTAGACTTCTTCCAGACCTTCTCCCCCACCCCGAAGATGACCACTCTTCGGGTGCTGCTGCACATAGCCGCTCAGCGCGACTACGAGCTTCACTCACTTGACTTCAACACTGCTTTCTTGCAGGGCAGCCTGCACGAGGAGATCTGGCTGCGCCGCCCTCCTGGCTTCACTGGGTCGTTCCCTCCTGGTACCCAGTGGAGGCTCCAGCGGCCGGTCTACGGTCTCCGCCAGGCGCCACGTGAGTGGCACGACACACTGAGGGCGACACTTGCGGCTCTTGGGTTTGCTCCTTCTACTGCTGACCCGTCGCTGTTTCTACGCACCGACACCTCGCTGCCGCCGTTCTACATCCTCGTGTACGTCGACGACTTGGTCTTTGCCACTGCTGACACTGCGGCACTCGCCCACGTGAAGTCGGAGCTGCAGAAGAGACACACGTGCACAGACCTGGGTGAACTGACAAGCTATCTTGGCTTGCGGATCACCCGGGACAGAGCACGGCGCACCATCACCTTGACTCAGTCACACATGGTGCAGCAGGTCCTTCAGCGCTTCCGCTTCACGTACTCCTCGCCTCAGTCCACTCCTCTGCCTACCGGTCACTCGCTCTCAGCTCTGCCTTCGAATGAGTCCGTAGAGCCGAGTGGCCCGTATCCAGAGCTTGTGGGCTGCCTCATGTACCTGATGACCTGCACTCAACCTGACCTTGCATACCCTCTTAGCATCCTTGCACGCTATGTCGCTCCCGGCCGTCACCGGAAGGAGCACATGGATGCAGCTAAGAGGGTGTTGCGCTACTTGTGCAGTACGTCAGGCATGGGGCTAGTGCTTGGAGGGCGAGACCGAGTTGTACTCACTGGGCACTCAGACGCCTCTTGGGCGGACGACCAGGCTACTCAGCGGTCGTCTCAGGGTTACACCTTCAGTCTTGGCTCTGGCTCAATTTCTTGGCGTTCTACACGCTCTTCTTCAGTTCTCAGCTCCAGTTGTGAGGCTGAGATCTACGCTACAGCCATGGCTGCCCAGGAGCTACACTGGCTGACCTACCTGCTGACCGACTTGGGAGAGCGGCCTCGTTCTCCTCCAGTGCTGTACGTCGACAACAAGGCTGCCATTGCCTTGTGTGAGGAGCACAGACTGGAGCACAGAACGAAGCACATCGCTCTGCGCTACTTCCTTGCTCGAGAGCTACAGCAGCGCGGTCAGCTTTGTCTGCGTTACGTGGCCACTGAGGCCAACACTGCTGATGTGTTCACCAAGGCGCTTCAGCCTTGTGACCATCAGCGCTTCTGTACTCTTCTAGGCCTTGTGCCTGCTGGACCTCACTTGCTTACTTCTTGACTCTGTTTGTACTGTGATCTCTATATATATACCTGCATGCTTACACTTGCTAGGTTGCGATCGCTGCATCGCTTGCTATATTATCAAACTGCATGTGAACTGGTCTTGTGACCGCTTGCTTGTGCTCGGAATTTGTGTGGTATCCTTGAGATCCACCCTGAGCCTGTTTTGCTTTGCTTTGCTTTGACTGGTCTTGTGACCCTCTGGTTGTCTCCCACTTCGCCTATGGGGGTGTGTCAAACATTGTATGTTTATATTGTGTAGGCTATAGTGGGTTTAGCCTTAGAGGGTACACAAACTTAGGGTTTCATACTTGTACCCACCTTCCTGCTAGTTCATCCATTCTCGTTCTGTTCTAGATTCTGACAGAAATGGCTGCTGGTGGTAGAGCGTCACATGAAGAAAAGGTAATAATGCTTCGCTCCGACCGCCGAGGAGGGGAGTTCCTCGGGAAGGACATCGCCAACTTCGTCAACGGCAAGGGCATCGTCCACGACCTGACCTGCCTGTATACCGTGCAGCAGAACGGCATGGCAGAGTGGGAGATGCACACGGTCGTTGAGTCTGTGCGAACAATGCGGCTGCACATGCTAGTGCAACACCACTGGTCGCACCTCGTCCTGCGGCAAGCCGTCTGGATGCGCAATTGCTTGGAGTGGTCGACGACGCCCCGGGGAAAACTCCGTACCAGCTGTTAACGGGCAAGAAGCCCGACCTTACGCTGGCATGGGTGTGGGGCTACATGGTGCAGTTCATGGTCCCGAGCAGCAGTGCGGTGGGAATCTGCCGACGGGGGCTCACTGGGGGCTTCACCTCGGTGTGTTGCAGGAAAGCAAAGGCTGGGAGCTCCTCGACCTCACAGACAACAAGCTCGTCACTACGGTGGAGGCAGAATTCTACGAGACCTAGTAACTGGAGGTGTGGAAGGTGAAGTATGGGCCGGCGTCAGGATAAACGCAGGCCAGCCAGCCGACAGACATCTCGACCGCGCCTCTCCCTTTGATCGCAGAGATTGGCGAGCCAGCTGATGAGGACATCGAGGACCTTAGGGTTTCCTACTTGTATCAAACTTTCTGCTAGTTCAATCATTCCTGCTTCAATTATTCTGACACTGGGTGGTCGACCCGGTTGACCAGGTTATCTCCTGGTCTGCGAAGGCGTGCGACCGTCGTCAAGGCTGCGATGGCAAAGACGACCTCGGGCTGGTATCCCAAGGTCGACGTAGAGCTTCTAGTGCAACTGTCCGCTTGTGGCCGGCTCGGCACCTGCGTGACGGTAAAGAACATGCTGGACCGTCGCTGCGCAAATGTGAATTGGGTGCGCACATGCGCTATTGTCACCCGCGGTTGCAACGCTGGCAGGCCGTGCACCTGCAGCATTGGCAAGTCGCCTTGGTGCAGCGTTGGTAAGCCGCTGACTTGCTATGTTGGCAAGTCGCTCTTCTGCAACGCTAGTGCGGTGCCTCTATGCAACGCTGGCAGATGTCGACCGTGCTATGCTGGTGGTCGACCAGCTTGCCTACTAGGTTGCTAGGCTCTGATGTGATTTTTCTTGCCATCGCTTTTTCAATCATTCTGTAATCCTAACTTTGCTAGTGAAACTCTTGCCAATTCTTCCTGTGAATGTGTGTGTAGATAGAACACAAGCAAACGCTAAGAAATGCAGCAACCACTCCTAGAAGCCGCGCCCTCCCCTTAGTCCAGATCTCGTTGTAAAGTGACTATTTGCAAGTCTAACGTAATGCGTACACCTAGACTATAGCATATACAAAGATACAATTTCACACACCTCCGTAGACTAGGTGAGGGGCGTTGCGAGAGTAAGTGAAGCAACAAATGTAGGGCGGCTCAAATATTCCAACCTCTCAGGCAAAAGGTCACAAGACCAGTCCGGAAGAAACAACACAGCACGAGAAACTCTATGCGATACGACTAGCCCAGGATCTAAGGCAAATTTTACAAGGCCAGTCCACGCGTTCAAATATATATAAGCAAAGTCACAAGCAGAACACTATATAAAGATGAAGAAACAACCAGTTTAGGACCTTCTGATACAAGACCAAGTTGTGTGCAGGACAGCTGGTGATCACGAGGCTGGAGTGCTTTGGTGAAGATATCAATAGTGTTTGCCTCTTAGCCCACGAAGGAACCACACGTTCCCTGCTGCGCTTCTGCAACCCATGCAACATAAAGTACCGAAGTTGAATGTGTTTGGTAACGGCCACGAGTTTCAGCACCTGACACAGATTGATCGTGTCCCTTTTGTCAGCGAACAAGACTGGGGTAGAGCGAGTTGGCTCACCAAGATCGGTGAGCAACAAAGGCAACCAACAGAGTTCCTGCATAGCCATAGCACCAGAGTAGTTCTCTGTCTCATCACTGTACGAGGTAACTGACAATGAACGTGTCGACCTCCACGAGACAGCTCCAGAACCCATGCTTGTGCAGCATCTCTGATATGATCTGTGAGTCTCGTCCCCCAAGACGTGTTGTTGTGCCCTGTGAGTCTGACTGCATGTCGTCAACACCAGCAGCAGCTCCACCGTCCGGGTCCTCAGCTCCAGCAGTAGCTCCAACGCCCGGGTCCTCAGCACCAGCAGCAGCTCCAACGCCCGGGTCCTCAGCACCAGCAGCAGCCCCAACGCCCGGGTCCTCAGCACCAGTAGCAGCGCCACCCCCAGGGTCCGCAGCACCAGGAGCACCACTCCGAAGACTGCAGCGCCGCGTGTACCACTCTCGGATCTGCTGAATGGGGGGGAGCTCCTGGGCAGGAGGGGAAGCACTGGTACGAGCTCCAGTAGCACCTCTCCGGAGGCGGCAGTACTGTAGGTACCTCTCCTGCAGCTGCCGGGAGGAGAGGGCTCCTCCAGGTGTAGCACGCTCAGGCTCAGCACCCCCAGACTCAGCACCCCCAGACTCAGCACCCCCAGGCTCAGCACCCCCAGGCTCAGCACCTCCAGGCTCAGCACCCCCAGACTCAGCACCCCCAAGCTCAGCACCCCCAGGCTCCGCACCTCCAGGCTCAGCACCCCCAGGCTCCGCACCTCCAGACTCAGCACTCCCAGGCTCAGCACCCCCAGACGCAGCAACCCCAGGCTCAGCACCCCCAGGCTCAACACCCCTTGCAGGAAGAGAGTCGACAGCCACCTCGACAGGCTCACCCGGGTCTACCTGGGACACACCTGAGGGAGCGGCACCCTGAGGGGGGAGGGGGTCTGGTACCTCAGCACCTGGAGCGAGGAAGAGAGGCGGGGGGGGGAGCGGAGCAGTGCGGTAGGGGAAGAGGCGGTAGTAGGGGACGGACTCGTCAAAAGTGACGTCCTGAGAGGCCAGGACACGACGCGAGGTGGCGTGGTAGAACTGCCAACCAGGCGCGTCCGGGACAAAGCCAAGGAAGACACAGGGGACAGCGCGACGGGAGAGCTTGTCCGCGGACGTGTCGCGAACAAAAGCTCGGGATCCCCAGACCCGAAAACGCGACGCATCGCCAGCCTCTCCCGTCCAACGCAGTGTCGGAGAAGTCTCCGGTAGGGAGACACGGGGCCAGAGGTTGAGCTGATGCGCAGCGTATCGGACCGCAAACGGCCACAGAAAGTGGGGGGCAGCCGCATGAACCAAGGAGGTACGAGCTACCTCCATGACCAAGCCAATGCGGCGCTCAGCAACCCCATTCTGCTGTGGAGAGGCCGGAAGCGTGAACGACTGCTCAATGCCCTCCTGCTGACAGAAGGTCTCCAAGAGGCGAGAGGAACCTCCCCACCTCTGTCAGAGTGCAGACGCAGGACAGGGAAGTCGGAGCGGAAACGCTCACTGAGCTGGAGACGAGATCTGCGGATCCAGGGGATCAAGACATCAGGACCTCACCCTTGGTGCGCAAGGGGAAGACCGTGGTGTAGCGCGAGAAGTCGTCAACAACAATCAGGAAGTACCTCTCCTGACCCTGACCACGGACGCGGGCTGGGCCCCACACGTCCATGTGGAGTGTCTGCAAAGGAGCAGTCGTCGGGGGAAAGGAGGAGGAGTGAGGAGCGGTGCGCTGCCGCCCCTCGACACAGGGAAGACAGGGAGGAGCAGGCGAGGGTGGGAGGGGAGGGAGAACCCTGGGAAGACCAGCAACAAGGTCCCGTTTGTGCATGGCCCGAAGGCGCTGCATAGACGGGTGACCAAGACGGTGGTGCCAGAGGACAGTCTCATGCGCCAGAGAGCGACACGAGCAGGGGGCGGACAGCTGACCTGACGCAGACGCAGACGCGGACGCAGCTACCTGAGGGGACGTAGTGGTCAGTGTGTATAGGTCCGACCCCGGCTGCCGAGTGAAGGTAGCCAGGTGACGGCCCGTCCGAGCACACGTGCAGTGCGTCACGCGCTCGTAAGCAGGGGTGAACTGGTGAACACCCCCGTCCTGGAGCGCACTACCTGCCACCAAGTTCGTAGAGAACGAGGGGAGGTAGAGACCTGACAGTGTGCCTGACGGGACCGCAGGACAAGGAAGGACAGTGGAGGAGGTTGCAATGACCGGACCCCCAGAGGGGTCAGCGAGGGAGACCGCAACTGGCCGAGCGAGTGGCTCAAGGGCAGTGCGGTCACGAAAGAAACAGCGAGAAGCACCAGAGTCCAGTGTGAAGGTGTGAAGTGCGGCAGTCGACTCAGTACCAGGGGGGACGGACTCACGAGCACCTAGAGCAGCAGCCTCACCAGGACCTGGGGCAGCAGACTCACTAGCACCTAGAGCGGCAGCCGGACTGGTCAGAATGCCCGGGTCGGGCGGAACACGCAAGTACTGGGCACCCTCTCCACTAGTAAACATCGCATACATGGCAGTGAGAATAGCATCAAAGTCTAAAGGCAATGGCAGTGTGTGCTCCAGTCTGTGCTCCTCACACAAGGCAATGGCAGCCTGGTTGTCGACGTACAGCACTGGAGGAAACGAAGCACATCGCTCTGCGCTCTGTGTCAAACATTGTATGTTTATATTGTGTAGGCTATAGTGGGTTTAGCCTT